AAGTTTTATAATTCTTATCATTATTAATGGTCAAGTTAGTTGTTACTCTGTCATTATCATTATCTTTACAGTATTTATTGTTTTGTAACAACAACAATAATAACAATACCACCACCGCCACCATCACCAATACCACCAATAATCAGCATTTGTTATTATTATTGCTACTTCTATTGCCTTTATTATTACCATTTTTATCGTAGTTTTGTACTTAGCATCCATTTTCAGCATTTGTCAATCTTTTTCTCATCTTGTTTTTGCCTTTGGAATGACAGTAAAAATAAACTTTGTATGATTTTGTTCAATGCTGGTTAAATACTTTTTTTTTGCATATATTATGAATAGCAGTAATTTCGTTTTTGTTCTTATTAAAGTTATAATATTTTTTTATATAATTGATTTTTTTTTATTTTTTTTATTCTTGCATTATCTTCTTAATTATTATTATTATTATTTGTTTACTTCGAGTTGCAAGAGTTAATGGGATTGCATTGGGGACTGGGCCTAAATGCAACAGGTTACATGAAATTGTTTTTATATGTGCTTTGAAATTTATTTGTACATTTTTTTTTTTTACCTTATTTATATTTTATATGTACTTTACTCAGGTGTAGATTATTTATTCATGGCTTTTTTTTATATAAATGCGTATTAGTACACATAGTCTGTTTATTTATGGACATATCAGAGTTGTTTTTTGTATTGTCTTTTGTATTTTGATCTTTAGGTCGTTTGTCTTTGTTCAAAGGGAGGAGAGGAAGAGGGAATGGAAGAGGCAGAGGCAGTAGGAGTGGGAATAGAAGCGGCAGAGGGAGAGGGAGAGGCATTGGCAGTAGGAGTGGAGATGGGAGAGAGAGGCAGGTGGCAGTAGGACTGGGAATGGGAGAGGGAGAGGGAGAGGGAGAGGCAGTGGCAGTGGCAGTAGGAGTGGAGATGGGAGAGAGAGGCAGGTGGCAGTAGGACTGGGAATGGGAGAGGGAGAGGGAGAGGCAGTGGCAGTAGGTTTGCGGATGGGAGAGAGAGAGGGAGAAGGAGAGGCAGTGGCAGTAGGAGTGGGAATGGGAGAGAGAGTGAGGTTAGAAAAATAGAATGACAGTAGGGGAAGTGTCAGCAATAACAGCAGGAGGAAGAGGAGGAAAACAAAGAAAAGATAAAAAAGACAAATGGAGTAAGAAACTGTTCGGAAGGAAGGGTAGAAGGGGGGGAGCGCGGAAGAGGAGGCAGAAAGCAGTGAAGTCGGTGGAAATAAACAATAAAAGGAGGAGGAAGAGCAAAACGAAGAAGGCCCTGGGTCATTGTAGGCTGGTTGGGCTTCCTGCGGACAAGAGGCTTTAGGGCGGGAGGGGGAGGGGGGCGATGGGGAGAGAAGGGGAGAGGGAGGGAGAATGCAAGTGGAGTGGGAGGGGAGGAAGGGTTGGTTAAGGCAAGGGAGAGGCCGAAGGACAGGAAGAATGGAGGACTGGGTAAGGCAAGGGGAAGAGATGGCTGATTAAGGCAAGAGGAAGGGAGAAGGAAGGGGAAAATGGTGCTGGGTAAGACAATGGAAGGGAGGGGAGAGTAAGTAGAGGGTAGGGGTTAGGGAGAGGGAGGAGGAGGGAAGAGGATAGGGGAGAGAGGGAGGGAAGAGGGCAAGGGAGAGGGGAGAGGGAAGAGGAAGTGGAGGAGGGAAAAGGGAAGAGGGTAGGGAAGAAGGGGGCAGGAAAAGGGTAGGGGATAGGGTAAAGGGGAGGGAAGAATGTAGAGGAGAGAGCAAGGGGGAGGGAAGAATGTAGGGGAGAGGGTAAGGGAGAGGGAAGAGAGTAGAGGAGAGGAGGGAGGGAAGAGGGAAGGGGAGAGGAGGGAGGGAAGAGGGTAGGGGAGAGGAGGGAGGGAAGAGGGTAGGGGAGAGGAGGGAGGGAAGAGGGTAGGGGAGAGGAGGGAGGGAAGAGGGTAGGGGAGAGGAGGGGGGGAAGAGGGTAGGGGAGAGGAGGGAGGGAAGAGGGTAGGGGAGAGGAGGGAGGGAAGAGGGTAGGGGAGAGGAGGGAGGGAAGAGGGTAGGGGAGAGGAGGGAGGGAAGAGGGTAGGGGAGAGCAGGGAGGGAAGAGGGTAGGGGAGAGGAGGGAGGGAGAGGAGGAGGGAGAGGAATTCTTGCTGGGGTGAGTGAGTACAACTTTTTCTATATTTTTTTTGTTGTTTTCTTTCCCTTTTTCGTCTTGTCATTTTCGTTTCCTGCCGTCTCTCCGTCCGTCCTTCGGGGAGTGAGTAAAACGAGAGACGGCGTAAGAGGAGTGAATAGGTTAGGAAGGGAGAAAGGAATAGAGGAGTCGGTGATTGGATGAGTGAATGAGCGAGCTGGTGATGTAAAGGCGAGTGCGTGCGTGCATCCATCGTTGCGTTGCGTGCGTTTTGAGTGGATAGCCAGAGTGGAAGGCGGCCGAGGAGCCCTTAACTCTGGCGGCTTTATTGTCGGGGAGAACTTCCCGCCCTGAATTATTCACTCCCCCCTCCCTTCCCCTCCCCT